GCCGCAGTAGAAATCCATCTCTGCAGACTCAGAGCCGGATGGAACGTGACTGTCCGCTCGCAAAAAAACAGAAACGCACAACAAAATCTGATCAAGTAACCTGCAGCTGAGGGCGGTTTCTGACATGGGAAACACGGCTCATTGCCCAGGGCAGCATCCGTCCTGGGGAGGAACCTTTCACAACGCTACGTGGTTCGGAAGTTTTTACTTATTTTGACCTCTTTGGATCAAAATAAATAAATTTATCTAGATCTATATCTATATTCTTAATGCACCTTTTTCCTCCCTGTTTGCACCTTCTGTAACTTCTATGCCAATATGTGACGAATGAATTTCTCTGCTATGAGATCAATAAAGCTCATCTAATCTAATCTAATATTCAGCCATTCAGCAAACATACCACTACTTGGTTGTAAATCTGATTTTGAGATTTGACTTTTGACCTACTTAAAATTAAGTTGGAAAAAAAGTTAAAAAGTTAACAAACCTAGTCAACAATTATATTTAGGTTTATAAACTGAAAACATGTCAGTGCCAGTATCAGTATTAATGCCTCTAAGGTCTGTTGGACCAAATAAAATGTGTTTCTTTTGTTTTTTTCGTTCATTTCTTATAGAATCATTTTTAGGCAAGTTGGTGTTTCTTGTTTTTGCATTAACATTAATTATTGCCATGAAAATATCCACATTTTTTGAATGTTATAAAGGTGATAAGGTCTCCAATAACACTATTGGCTGGAAATTGTTCCCTATAAATCAGAGAAACTATGATTTTTGGATCTGATCTGAAACTTGGATCTGGAGCAAAACAATAGAAACTAATTCCTTTAGGATGTGAAGATCTTTGGCGTGATTCTGGAGTTATAACACATTCAAGATGAACTGGTTTTAGTTGTGAATCAAAGAAACTGAACGAGTCTATTTATTATTGTTGCTTAAACTCCTTGCTAACCAGTCAGGTGCAGTTCTGTCTCTGCTGACGTGTTCAGGCAGCAGAGGAACGCGCTGCGATGGACGTTCCACAGCGCCGGATGTTTGATGCTGGTTTAATGGAAACCAGCCAATCAGACGTCCTCATAAAAACTTTATATGAGCAACCTGCACCTCTGCTGCGGCCATATTGGCTACATGAGGGATTGAGTTTTCTGATCTAGAACTTGGAACATGAGAGCCTTCTTGGAGGGGAGGGGGAGCAGGTCGGGGGGTTCTGACCGCTCAATGAAATAAGGATCAGAATCCGTCCAGTGGTTCATTTTTCCTTAGATCTAAACCTTTTTCAGTCATTAAACACTTTAAGCTTTTATGGATAACGGTATGAACTTTCTATCCAGAACCTTCGGGGCTTCAGACAGTTCGGCAATAAGCCCGGTACCTGGACCGGTACCTGGACCGTCACCAGGCGGATGCTGGATTTCCTCTGGGTCAGATGTTGTGAACCTCAGCGGCTCAGAACATCTGACCCAGTTTGTGTTCCTGATCAAACCTCCTGCAGAGAACAATCACAGACCCGCTGCTTCTGCTTTTAACTTTACATTCCAGTAAAACCAGGACCAGCGCAGGAAGCTGCTGCTGGCGCACAGCTGTTAAACCAGTTTAAGACCCATTTAAGCTCCAAATAAAAAGAAAACATAAAAGAACAGGGACTGAACACAGGAATCACATAACAATTTAATCAGAACCGGTTATTTCTGGAGTTTTTTATCCAGATTCTATCCTGTTTCAGGAAGTCTAAGTGTCCGTCAGGTTGGTCTCTTTAAGGTGGCTCTCAGGACCTGAAGTTTCTAAACCAGAACATTCTGAGGGAACAACAATGTTATCACATAAATAACTGATGGTGTGTGTTAGTGGAAACCGCTTTAGGAAGCTGATGCATCCTGGTCCTGACCCACCGTCCCTGAACTCACCGTCTGATTGATGAGGCACTGGAAGGGACGAGCTGCTGCTTAAGATGTTCTGACCCAGAACGGACTAAAGGAAAGCCTGACTCAGAACCTGAAGAGCCTGGAACAGAAAAACTCAGATGAAGGTTGAAGTAAACAGGAAGCTCTTCATCTTCGTTTGATTACATTTAACGTCACTGTGCTGTAAACCCTCAAAGGTCTGGGGCGTCGTCATGTTTCCAGAAACAGCCCAGCAGTTCGACTCAGGTTATGGTAAACCGTCTCCATGGAAACAAGCAGAGGCAGGGAGTCCAAAGGCTCCAGCTGGGTTCATGAGTGACGTGATGCTGAGAATGTCTTTGGACCGAAGCGGGTCAGTCGGTTCTGAACGTCATATGTAGATGATCAGAAAAGGTGACTGATCAGATGGTTCTGGTCTCAGGTTCAAGTCCAGTTTCCGTGGAACTGATCAGGTTTCAGTGGAACTGATCAGGTTTCAGTGGAACTGATCAGGTTTCAGTGTGATGTGGATGTTTGGCCATTTGGGGTTAAATACTCAGACGATGAAGGTGGAACCAGCTTCTCTGACGCTGTAACCAGGTTCCTCTTGTTTCTCTCAGACTAAGAACAGAAGAATCTTTCATCTGAACATCTTCTGCTGTCTGTTCCTTAATGTTCCTTAATATTTACCAAGAAACTACAGACTACCAGCAGGTCTTAGTGACGTCATTTTGGGACGTTTTTTTACAGTTCTTCCCCTCAGCTCGTCACAAAGCTCCTTATGTCTTCAGAGATCTCAGTCTAATGTTTACATTTTATCACTGCTGCACTTTAGGAAATGGAAATTCCATTTTATAAACACCCTGTGTACAAAATGACAATAAAAGAAATTAGAACAAAAATTTCTAAACAATCAAACAATTATAAATATGGAGATGAGATAAACTTTAATACGCCCATATGGGAATATTCACTGATCAGACAAGTTAAAGATTTACTTCTAATAAAGTCATGTTATAGAGTTTGATTAAATAATAGAAAATATTGAATGTTAATAAATAAAAACTTGAATCTATTTCCCTCTGAGTCTCTCAGGTTTGCTCTGCTACTTTTCTTCATCTAATGATTCTGATTTTGGTTCCGTGAGAATAAAAAAACGCTCCTTTGTGTTTTTATCAAAAGGAACTGATAGGATACGACTTTTTACGTCCTGTCTGTACAGGAACTGAAAGTCATCAATCTGTTGTCATGGAAACCAGGTATCAGATAATCTGCTGACAGCAACCCTGAACTCAGGTCAGTTCCTCGTGCCTCAGGTCCATCACTCAGCTGCTGAACGACAGCTGGCCCATCAGAAACGCTCCCGGTTACGCCTGGGATCCGTTGGAGGACTTTTCTGGACAACAGACTGTGGAGATCTTGGTTCTCAGGCGGTTTCTGGGCTTTAAGGTCCAGTTTCATTTGTGGATCTAAAAAAAATGTGAATTTATAATGAGAAAGTTCAAGAGTTTTTGTCCCTAATTCTAGAATATTAATCACATGAATTCATCACACGTAAAATAAAGTATTTCCAACCTTTTATTTCTGATCTTTAAAAGTAATAAAATCCAACATTCAGTCTCAGAGAATTATATATATATATATATATATATATATATATATATTTTTTTTTTTTTTTTTTTATATATATATATATATATATATTTATTACTGTAAAGAAGTCCGTGTTGTAAACTCTGGCCACAGGATTCAAACTCACAAAAAAACATTTTAACCAAATCTAAAGACATGTAATTATATTACATAACAAATTCCCTTATATTGAGTTAACGTTACATTCATGGGCGGTTCTAGACAGGGGCCAACGGGGGCCGGTGCCCCTGTAGATCATGTCCTGGCCCCTGTTATGGCCCCTGTACTGCAAACATAAAACTCAAAGAACTTCTAATGATGATCTGCGCTGGAGCAGACATGGTTACTGATTGGTCCTTTGGATCTATTTCATTCTTTTCTTTACAAATTCTGTTTTACTAATTATTTAAAACCATAAGGTGATAGCTTCAGTGGGACGGAGATAGGATCCCAGTTTTCATCTGCTTATTTTTATTTTTTTTCAAAGGTGAATTTAACAGCTTTTCTTGAGTTCTAATTCAGATTTTATAGAATTTATTAAATACTTTTAGTTGGGAGACTTAGAATTTTAAATAAACTTAATTAAAAATACATTTCCCTTCATGCAGCTCTTTTTATATATTTGAATCCTTTGCCCTGTTTTTTATTTCATGCTTTTCTGGGCCCCCATGAAAACAACGCTAGCCCCCTCCTGGCCCCCCTGGTACATTTGGTCTAGAACCGCCACTGGTTACATTATGCATGCATTTGTATCATAAACATTATAAATATATTTAATTCAAATACATAAAGTTTTTTTTTGTTTGAATTGTATAATGGTAACCTGATTTCTATGTAAGTCAAACAAAACATTTTTAATAATCAATAAATTTAGGATAATAAATGGACATTTTGAAGGCAGACTTAAAGGTGTTTGAGGGCAGGATTCTAGCTGACAGGCAGCTGTTCAAACATTTATTTGCAGCTGGATCAAATAGTTTAAAAAAGTCCTACATTGTGATTTCTGGATATTTTTTAGCTCATGTCTCTCACAGTGGAAATGCACCTATGATGTTCAAATACTTATTTTCTTCACTGTATGTATTTTAAACAAATAAGCCTTTTCCTCTGAGTTTTTTCCTGTGAGTTTTTTTTCCTGTGAGTTTTTCCTTTTGGATTTTTTGTTCTGGACTTTCATTCTGAAATCATTTAGCTTATTTTACTCTATTCTTATGTTTTATCTTTTGTGTTTTTTAAATGGTTTTATTCTGTGTTTTGACTTTGTTTCTGACATTGTGTTTCTATCTTTTATACGGTGACCTTTAGAGTCCATAAAGGCGCCTTTGAAATAAAATGTATAATAATAATAATTCTTATTAAAATGAGTTTTGCTGCTGGAAGGTTTATTTCAGGTCGCAGCACCGATCAGGACTCTCTGGCGCCCTCTGCTGGCCGCAGAAGCTCCTCTCCTCCTGTTTTACGGCACAGCCTGCCGGTTGACGATCTCCCGTTGTCATAGAAGCAGGCAACATGGCGGCGGCGGCGGCACGGACGGATTCACCGGAGGACCAAGACGGTTCGGTACCGGGAGCGGCGGGGGGTTCGGCTCCGGGTTCCCCGGTCTGTCTCATCGTTCTGGGCATGGCGGGTTCCGGGAAAACCACCTTCGTTCAGGTGAGGCCGCGCGCGCCGTGGACAGCGTGACTCCGTCACATCCACGCGTGAATTCATCCGCAGCTCTGAGCAGTAACCGGATCCTGGTTTTATTCTGCTTCTGGTTCTGATCGGTTCCTTTGGGCCTGATCCAGAGGGATTTGATGGGCAGTAATGTGGTTCCGGTTCCGGTGGTTCCGGCCTCAGTGATGTTTTGGATCAGAACCATCAATGATCATCTGGTTCTGCTCATCAGCTCCCTGTTAGTCCAGAACCCAGATCCTTTAGATCTGCCGCTCTGGTTCTGATCCAAACCCAGAGGCGGTTCTAGGCGGGGGCCAGCAGGGCCCCCTGAGGAACCGATCCTGGCCCTTGGAATGGCCCCTGTCCTTAAAAACATACAGCAGAAAATGATCTTATAAAGGGGTTTATTTGACTTAATTTTAGCAGGAAGATAAGAACATTTACTAATGAAAGGATTTCAATAAAAAAATAAATAAAATAAAACTTCTTATTTCAAGTAGTTTATATGTAATTATGTTATTTTGAGGGAAAAATATATTTTTCTTTGGCAATCATCTTATTTACCCGCTCATTTTATAATGTTTTTATATATATTAGATCATTTTTGCTGTCATACATAATAAGTCATGTGATTATCTCCACAGGCAGAATGGATTTCACTCAGATCCTAGATCTTGTTGGAGATTTATAGACTTTTGTTGAGATGTTTTGGGAAAAAAGTATCAACTATTCATCCTGGTTAAATAAACGGAGATTGATGGATTTCACTCTGTCGGCTCTTTATTCATATCTCTGCAAATAGAGAGCAGTCGATCATACGGCCGTTAATCAGCCCTGTTCTGCCTGAGCAGCAATCGTTCCTCCTTACTGACAACAATGGAAAACAGTGAGAGTCAAAACTAATTCCAGAAACTTTGGTTAAACAATAAAATGTTATGAATAAACCTGAGAAATAATCTGGTTTGTTATGGAAGAAGCTCTGTCTGCTCTACAAACACCATCCTGGAGAGACTGAGTGAAAACTTTTATAGTGAGTAAATAGGATCAATTAATATATGAAATAAGAGAAATTAAATTTTCTGACCACAGAGATCATGATTTCAAGAAGTCTTGCAAAGTGCGATCACCTCGCTGCATTAGCAGATTATTGGACTTACTGTACAGACCAAACATTTGGACTCATTCAAAGACTTTTCTTTATTTTCATGACTGTTGAAATTATATATTCCCACTGAAGGCATCAGAACTATAAATGAACACATGGAATTATATAACTTAAAAAAAAAAAAAGTATGAAACAACTGAAAATATGTCTTATATTCCAGCTTCTTCAAAGTAGCCTCCTTTAGCTCTGATCATTGCTTCGCTCCAGAGGCCGTCACCTGAAATGGTTTTACTTCTCAGGCGTTCCCCTGTCAGGTTCAATAAGTGGGATTTCCTGCCTTATAAATGGGGGGAGGGACCATCAGGTGTGTTGAGCAGAAGTCGGGTGGATCCACAGCTGATAGTCCTGCTGAATAGACTGTTAGAATTTGGATTATGGCAAGAAAAAAGCAGCTAAGTAAAGAAAAACAAGCTATTAGCATTACTTTAAGAAATGACGGTCAGTCAGTCCGAACAGTTGGTAAACACTACGAAGAAACTGTCCGACATGAGGAGCGCCCTGGGAAAGGAAGACCTGGAGTCGCCTCTGCTGCAGAGGATCATCCGAGTCACCTGCCTCAGAAATGACAGGTTAACAGCAGCTCAGACTAGAGAACAGGTCAATGAAACACAGAGTTCTAGCAGCAGGAACATCTGGAGAACATCTGGACACTGTGTGAATCAGGCTGGGAAACCGCTGCTAAGGCAACAAGCAGAGAGACTAGCTTTGGCTAAAGAAAACCAGGAACGGATCTTAGACCAGAGGATCTGCTTTCTGTGTGAATCTTTATTTTTCAAAGTAATGAAAATAAATAAAACTCTTTAAATGAGAAGCTGAGTCCAAACGTTTGATCTGAATCTTCTCTAAAGCATCTTCTGTTGATTAGTGGATCAATCTTCATACGAGGCCCTGATTGGATGGACAGTTTCTGCAGCAGGATGATAATTAACCTGGTTTAATAATTAGCCTCTATTATTCACTTTAAAAATGGAGTAATCTTCAAACTTCAGCCCCCCGATAAACGCCGCCGTCCAAACCGCAGATCTGGTTGCCTGGTAACCATGTTTTCCTCCTGCAGAGGCTGACGGCCCACCTCCACTCCCAGAACTCTGCCCCCTACGTCATCAACCTGGACCCGGCGGTGCACGAGGTTCCGTTTCCCGCCAACATCGGTGAGGTTCTGTCGGGTCCGGTTTTGTCCCTGCTGCTTTCCGTAGTCCTGAACTGTCCTCTCTGCTCGCCAGACATCAGAGACACGGTGAACTACAAGGAGGTGATGAAGCAGTACAGCCTGGGGCCCAACGGCGGCATCGTCACCTCCCTCAACCTGTTCGCCACACGCTTCGATCAGGTGACCCGCTGCCGACCCGGTTCTGGTTCAGGACCGTTTATGGATAACTGGGGGCGACAGTGGCGTTGGATGGAGGAGTTTGCCCT